ATCTTCACCAGATGCGACAGCATCAGCACATTTGCTTAAATTACCCTGGAATCATAAAGTGACTGCACAGATATTGTCATGGTTTATTCTTTACTGTTGCATGAACACTGTAATCCATCCAGATATCCCTATGAGCGAAGAAGTGAACATGAACCTTAATACCATTTACAATTTGGATTCTTGAAAAGTCAGTAGATGCCATGCAATATATTGGATAAAAATTCACCAGTATCTCAGACTATTTTGACCCACACCACAGCAATAGTTTGATCCCTAGCTTTGTGCCACTAAAAACAAAAACAAAATGAGGCACTCAAACTTTTTTGGGGGAAAAAACAGGTATTTTGTTCAGGACTAATCTCTCTGGAAGCTCTGGCTTAAGTGACCCCAATTCTAGTTCACCAACCCTACTCTGAACTCTCATGAGACATAGCACATTTCAAGAAAAGTCATCAAGTAAATGGATTTTAGAGATATGGGGCCGATAAAGCTGATACTAAACAGAGACAGAAGGGAGAGGAAAGTCAGCTCCTGCCCATAGGCAAACAGCTTGACCATATTCACATGTAGCTACCACAATTGCTAGTCACACAGCTGCAACCAGTAAGGGGAAATACAGCCTGCTATAAAAACTCAAGGAAAGAAGGAGAGGCAGGAAGGACTGAGACAGTGAAGGAGCAAAACCCCTGCCTCCGGCTGCCTCTAGGAACAGAGCCAAAGAGAGGGAAGCATTTTTTGGCCAGTGGCCAAGAACTGTTCTGACCAGGGATTAACCAAAGAAAGCCAGGCATGACATTAGAGACCCATCGAAAGACCACATCAGGAATCTAGGACTGTATAGCTCCACTTAAAATGCTACAGCAGCAAAGTTGCAACACAATACTGCTTTAGCCCAGACACTACCAACGCCAGCATGAGGGGTTCTCCCACTGGCACAGATACACCTCCCCAGGAGGCAGCAGGTAGGGAGAAGTTAGTTCGGCATAGGGGAGTGGACTTTACACAGCCCTGACAAATGTAGCTATGACAACGTAAGTTTTAAGTGTAGACCAGCTCTTTAAACAGGAAGGATAGCAGGAGGATGAAGGGAAAAGCTCCTGAATGGTGCAAATGTCCTCACCAAATTAAAATTCCCTTTGGAGAGTAGTATGACCTTAAACAAAGGGTCTAAGGCATGTTAAACATTTAATTAATTAATGAGCAGCTCTCCACTAGAAAATTAGGTCAAACCAGTTATGTAGCTCAGCAGTGTAAAAAATCCACACCCCTAAGTGATGTAGTTAAAAAAAAAATCTGTTGAACTTGTTGCTGCCTTTCAGGGAAGTGGATTTCCTATACTGGCAGGAGATCCTCTCCCCTTGGCATAAGTAGTGTCTACACTGAAACATGATGGCAGCACCGCTGCAGCACTGCCCAGATAGCTTTTTTAAGAGTAGACATGCTTAAAGCATATGTTCCCATTCTTCTCCTCAGTGCCTTAGAGCCTATGATGTGCATGACAAATGTCATTTCTAAAAGTTCCTCACCCAAAGCAGCAGTGATAGAAATGTAGCCGTGTTAGTCTGGGGTAGCTGAAGCAAAATGCAGGACAATGTAGCACTTTAAAGACTAACCAAAGCAGCAGGACTTTCCTTGTTGGGCCCTGGCTGCCTGCTCCCATCCTCAAACCCAGCTCACCTGATCAGAGATAAGGCCCAACCTTTATAATTGGCAAAGGCTCTCCAAATCCTGGCATGCACACAGGAGACAGTGAACGTGGCTCAGACACTCCAGAGGCACAAGTCTGTAGAGCAACTCTTTAGATTTTGGTGCACTTCAGAAAGAGCTGAGTTTCAAGCATATGATATGGTAAGAACAGAAATCCTCTTGCTGTTCCTGTCCCACCGATATTGATGCATGAACACCATAAAAAAATACATCTTTTAGATCCAATACTCCATTTGAGTTCCTTCAAAGATTTAGTGGATGGCATGCACTACCTTGGGTAATACAACTAAGACCATTTTGACCTGCATCACATCAATAGTTTGATCTCTAGCTCTGCACCAAAACATCCACCTAGAAAATTGTTGAAAAATTGATATTTTTTCTGGACTTACATCTCCATGGCCCCTAGCTCAAATTGCCCTCAATTTGTGCCTTTTCCCCTGTGCTAGCCCTTTTGGAGGCCTACCACATTTGAAAGGACTTGCCTAAGCATGCTGATTTTAGAGGACGTACAAATATCAACCATTAAACAGAAGCTGTGATGAAATCCTAACTGCCATACCACTATAATCAGGTTATTTAAAATGGATCTAGGCACAAGATCTAGCCTTAAATTGTTTGACACTACAGTGTGTACAATCATTTTCCTCAAGAGGTCCTCAGGAATAGTGATGAGCAACTTCTCCTCTTCCTCCAAACCCTTCACCAATAACACAAAATTATCCTGCCTTCCATTCTCTTCAATTTTTGAGAGAGAATAAAAGCCTCACTGCAACAATACACTGTGACACCTAGAAGTACATCTCATTGACCATGTATATCCATCACTTGAGTGTTAAAATGTGAGGAGATCAACACTTTGATGAAGAATATGTCTTTTAAAAAACAAAAGGAGAAAGAGAAGTCGCTAATTAGGTCTCCCTCTTGTTCTGCATTTGAAATATATTAATTTTAGTTACTAAAAATAATATAGAAAACAGAAGAGCCTATCCGAAGAATCATTGGTGCTTCTGATATATGCTAACAAAAAATAATCAATTAAACCTAGCAACTATACCCATATTTTTTTTTAGACAACCTCTTGTAGGAACCTACTCAATAAGTAAAGAAAGCCACCCTCCCCCATGCCCATGCAACCAAAATCAGATTCTGATTTTGTTTGCATTTTTATCCATGATACCTGCATTTTCTGATTATTCCATCAATTAACTTTCATTAAGTATGCTTTAAGATCAGTTCCACTTCCAGAGCAAGAGTTTTCTCTGAAGAAGCCTGCATGTTAAGCAAGCATTTATTATTTTAATCTTTCCTTCAGTGAAACACCAGTGCAGTCAAGGGGAGATATTCCTGAATATGGACTACTAGAGGAATGAAACCAAACTGACAATGCACAAGCCTGCATTTATACAAATATTATTTAATAGAACTCAAACTCAATCCATGCCACTTTAGAACCTTAGGTTACCCTTGGTTTTAGAAATAAACGATTATTTTCATATATCAGAGCTACACTGTACACATTAAGTCCTAGTAAGATAATTAGACAAGAAATATTTAATATTTGTTCACTAACAAGGGAATTGTACTGACAATGAAACTTGTACCAAGGATCACCTCCAGTAAGTAAAGAAACAATTTAAAGGCTAATTCTGTTACCAGTGTAATTTTGGTTAACAGAGGATGACAAAGTCCACATGCAAAATCAATTTTGTATTTACATGCACATGTGATTACTTGTGAAAGCACAAGGAGAGAATACCCTGTCTCCATTAGGCCATTGATTTTTGCTGGTATCATGAGCACTTTTTGAAGATAGACTTCACTGTCCCGGTTATGTTATGTTACTGCTGCACTATTTGTATCATGAGTATTCTCTGTATCTATGGTTCAATGAAACATAATTTTCACCCAAAACACATTTTTCCTCAATTAGCTGCAGTCATGTGCTGGCTGCTCAAAACATGTGTTTGCCGTGAACGAGAGTTATTCAATCTCATTCACAGGAAAAGAGTGTAATCAATATTTTATAGAGGAGATTAATTTCATCATAGAGTAAGGTAATTGGAATTGAACGAACATGGCAAAGTAGGATGGAGGGTGAGACAATGCAAGACTCCATCTTCTCTTTTGTGCACCTATTCAGAGCTAAATGCACTAGGAATTCCCATGAATACAGTAGTTCTAGTTTAGTGCTATTGTGTAGGCCAACCTCCCATAAATGGAAGGGCCTGGGGAAGGCAGAACAAGGACAAGTGTTGGTCCCTCAAAAGAGGAGATTCTCTGAATGCTTCACTTTGTGAATGAGTCCACCTTCCCTGTCTATTTCCTTCTCAGAAGCAAGACACACTACGAACTTTCACTTGGGAGGGGCAATCCCACCTCAGTCTCCAGAGAAAGTTGTCAAGTTTAAGTTTATTAGTGCCCTTTTACCAGCCAATCAGTGCTTCTAATTCTTGCTGATTCCTTCATGAAAGATAGCTTTGGAATCTTTAAATACCTTATCTTAAAATGTGAAGGATAAACCATTCAAGATTACACTTAACTTATAATCACATAAGATTTCCTAGTCTCATAACTCTTCTTCAAATACAGTATTTTACACCAAATCTATTTTTATTCCTCTGATTATAACACCTTGAATGCTACACAATTATGATGACACAAAGAAAGAAAGGATGTTATTTGAAAACTTCTTGCTAGCAGAAAGAATGTGAAACATTGTATCTGATCAAGAAAATCATAATAAGGATTTCAATGAGAGGACTTAAATGCCTTTTCAGGTGACACAAGTAACACCACATATTATTTTTAGAACAGTATAAACATTTCTCAAAGCATTTAAACAGGACTCCATGTACAGACATTTCCTCACATTCAACCTGAAATGTGTTGTGTGTCATAACTATTTGTGAAACCTGATGTTCAGAGCTGAATAAACCTGTTCTTTCAATAACCTGGTTTTCTTGTGAGTTCACAAAGTTCAGTTTTAAGAGAGTTCTGGAATATTGGTAAAGGTTCACACAAATGATATGAAACTGCTGATACAATTAAAATGCCTTGCAAATCACAGGTTATTTAGATCAAACCCCATATGTAGTGCCTAGGCATTTAATACCTAAGTTACTAGATATTTATATAGAGCCTATATTAAAAATTAGTAACACACTGCAAACATGACAAAACTTCTAATGAACCAGTGTTTCTTTATGATTTTCTCACAGCTTTACTAATGACAGCATCTCTAGTTATGATAAAAATGTATCTATCTGCATTCAAACCAATTATGCACCTACCATTAATCCATTTGGCTTCTGGATTATGAATTATGAACTCTTTTTTGAAGAGATCTTCTAAAGACAATCTGGTTTCTGATGAATTTGAAAGCTCATCTAAAAAATAAAGAAGCAAAGAAACACCAAGTTATATATCTTCAAAAAACTGATATTATACATGTCATTATTTAAAATTGTTAGGATTTTAGGGGCAGATCCCACATCTTAAAAACAGACAAGACTCCTGTTGAAGTTGATAATAAAAATGCCTACTCAGTCATCAGGATATCTCTCATCACTTTAGAATGTATCATTGCAGTGGCATGTTCTGCAGTGGAAACTAAGGCACCTGCGGAGAAGTGACTTGGCCAAGGCCACCATGAAGCCACTGGAAGAGCTGAAAATAGAATCTAGGTCTCCTGAGTTCCAGTCCAGTGCTCTAGACACTACACACTCTCCAACCCCAATTTAATAAAAGTATTTCCTATATGCAGGGTGAAACATATATTGATTATATGTTCTATCCTACAAACTCATAAAACTCATTTTTTTCAGATTGGAAAAATACTAGTTTACAGAAAATGAGCAATGTAGAACAAATCTTACCTACATCTAAAGGCAGGGGTGGGCAATAAAAAAGGCAGCCTACAAGATTAGCCCCTGGTGGGCTGCCGCCGCTCTGTTTACCTGCACCTCCGCAGATATCAACAGCTCTGGTTGGCAACAAATCGCTGTTCACGGCCAATGCAAGTGGCAGGAAGCATCGTGGACCAGGATGCCAGCAAATGGCATTCACGTCCAACAAGAGCTGTGATTCTCAATACCTGTGGAGGTGCAGGTAAACATGGAATTGGGGACTGCCAGGGACTAACCCTGTGCACTGGATCTGGCCTGCAGACCAGAATTAACTCATCCCTGTCCTAAGGGGAGAGGGAAAAGAAACCCAATATCCCATCTTAAACATAAGTTCCTATGGTCACGGGTCAGTTTTAAATAGAGTTCATGTGTCTCAGTCCCACTAACCATGGTATACCACAAGAATAAGAGAATGAAATTAACCTTTTCCATTATTTCTGTTTAGTGATCACCACCATATTCATATGTGAAAATAACCCAAATAGCCAAATTAAACTGCTCCCCCCCCCCCATCAGATCTTTGGAGATAGGAGCGATGGAATTCTGGGCTACAGAATAGGTGGTACATTTTCTAGGAATACAGTGGCCACCATTAAGAAGTCCACATTTGCCCAGAGATTCCACACAGTTATTTCACCTGCTAAGGAAAAAGGGAGAGTGTGGCATTTTTGATGTTACTAACTAGTAGTGAATGTTGATGTATTCATTTTTAAATGCCAGCTCCTAACAATAAGTTCCTTCTCATTTTCTTGTGCTGAAGCATCAGTTATGGAAATATTTGGTGCTTCCAGAAATATTTTAAGAAAGGCATTAGGTAAAGGGAAACATTAATATGTGGAAAATAAAAGGTACTGCTGACTGAAAATCACTATTTCTTGTTAGGAAACAATTTTTCAATTGTATTTTCTTACATGTCCTAGATCATGGATCACTTTAGACAAAATTATAGGCATAACACATGAAAGAGCTCATTGCTCCCAGAGCATGCAGTATGTATTATATATGCACAGTGTTATTAACAGCCAACTATTTGCTGCAATTCTTGTCTATGATATTGGATTTTTTTGTCTTGCTACACTTGTCTGTCTGAAAGTACCTTTCCTGTTGGGTTCAAATTTTGGATTTCCATATATCTGCTGATAAATATCTTCAATTACTTAGGAAAAAATGTCTAGAAAAGCAACAGTCAAGTTGCAGAGTCCAGTAGAGAAAAAAGAAGCCTACTTTACAGCAAGAACATCAATAATACAGTTAGAGCACGTCAACACTACACAGAAGATCAGTGCTGTCACAGTGGATCTTTTGGGGTTCAATTTAGCAGCTGTAGTATAGACCCATTAGATCAAAAACAAAGGGTGCTCCAGTCTATGCTGGTACTCCTACTCCTCGTGAGGCATAAGGAAAGCCGATGGGAGAATTTGCTCCCATCATCCTCTCGCTGTATGGATAGGGATTTACGATATGTTGACTACAACTAAGTAATTTACATAGCTGGAGTTGCACATTTTACTTCAACCTTCCCATGTAGTATAGACCAGGCCTTATGGTGCAATCCTAATCCTGTTGAAATCACTAGGACCTTTACCATTGCCATTACTCTTGAGGAGTACGGGACAGTTCTAAGTCTATTAAAATCAACCCTCCACCCACAAATAAACATCTGTGTTTGTCTTAAATTTTGTCAGTCATGCTTGTTTCAGCCATTTCTCACAGTGGTACATACTGCTGAAACAGTATCTCTCTTCCCCTCTCCCTCAAACTTATCCTTGAGCAAATTCAGAGTGAGACCTCTCATTATGCCATCCTTTTGTAATCTATACAGGTCTATCCCCAAGGTCTCAGTCAATAGAAGCCCTTTACATACTTACTCTAATCAACTCCTCTCACTCTTCCTTTTTTAAAGGCTAACCATGTTCCACTCTTAAAATCTGTTGCCACAAAACAGACCTACTAATCCCCATATGTTGACTTCTTGTGTACCTTCCCAAGAATCTGAATCACTTTTTTTAAAAATTCAAAACCCAGTACTGGACACAGTATTCCAAGTGTAGTTTTATAAGAGCTTTACAGAGTAGAACTATTATCTCTCTTGATTTATACCTAATCCCCATTTATACACCACAGTACCTTATTAGCCTTTCTTGCTACTGATCCCACATACTGAGCTTCTACCTTCTAACCACTGTATACCATTACTATAGCCTCTACCCTCTTTGGTTTCCATTAATATATATTATGTAATGTGTCTTTTGCTAATATTTCTCTCTCCAGATGCACTTATTAACCACAGAGCTTAATTCCCTTCACTGTTTGGCAACATTCTCCTTAGTATCTAACTACCTTTCATCTGTGTTCTGTAATCACCTGCAAATTTGAACACCAGACATCTCATTCCCATTTCTGAATCGTTTAGATAAAAGTTCAATACTGGCACTGTGAAAACTTATTTGCAGCCCTCAAAAAGGCTCAAATTCCACTTATGAATCTTTGTACTCTGTTAGTTTGCAAACTTTCAATCTATGACATCAGATTTTTGCTTTCCCTAAGTCATTAGTTTCCTCCGACTAAAACTTTATGAAATGCCTTATTAAAACCCCCTAAAGAATGGAAAGAATACCTGAAAAGAGAGCCTCACCCACGTTTCCTAGCATTCTGACAATTCATATGCTTTCCAAGTATAAATTGCATTTCATAACTTTACATTCAACGGAGTATTTCTAAGCATTTACTTTTCAGGCATTTAATTTAGAGAAATAGACATCTTCAAACAAATACACTGTCTAGTGTTTGAAGAATAAAACTCTCATAATGGAAAGACAGTATTTAAATAAAATCAAATTTGTGATCTTTTGGTCTAGGTGATCGCTCTGTCAACATCTTAAAACTACATTTAATTTAATTTAATTTAATTTAATTTAATTTAATTTAATTTAAAGTACACTCCTGTCATCTGAAGAAGTGTGTTGATCCCAGGAGAGCTCATGATACCATTTACATGTTTTGTTAGTCTTTAAGGTTCTACTAGACTATTTGTTGTTTTTTAAAGTTTTTCCGGTTACAGACAGCTACCCCATGAAGATCTTAAATTATGTTTTTAGCAAAATATTAGTTTGATACCAGCAGAATCAGAAATACTCTTAAATTCCCAAAATGCTCAGCTAATTGACAGAAAGACAAGCTGTTCATCATGTAAGATATCAGAAGGCTGTAATACATATTTTTATTCTAAATATGATTTTGTATGCACTCCATATAGTATATTCTCTGACTGCTGTTAAAGACTTTTTTCCCCATTAATGTTTATTGCTGAATAGTCTATCATCTCTTTTCCATTTCAAATTTTATTGAGTTATTCACTGAAAGTCTAAAATTTCCCAGATCCTAACTAACTTAATATTTTTTTTAATTTCCAATTGAATATATATTCAGCTAGAAACATACACATTCATACAGATATTTTTGTACACATATATTATGTAGATTGCTGGAACCAGATTTGAATTCAATTGATAAAATATAAAAAGTTACATTTTTGTACTATGCAGTTAACTGGCAGCTGAACTGCTTAACATCTGGGGCACATTCATACACAGACAGCTAACCTTATATCAATAAATTAAAGACTTTGAAAAGCAGAAATGAAGTAGAGTAGATACTCACTAATTTGCAATAATAGATAAAATGCTTTTGCAAATTAGCAAGTAAATGAATAGATAATAACAAGGGAAGAATAGAGCTTCACAAATTTTACTTTGTACAATTATTTTATGACAAGTTTAGTTGTAATTATTTAATTTAATACTTCAAATATTAGATAAATAATTACTCTGTCCAACTTTGAGGGAAAAAAATGATGTCCTGGTTTTACAAGACCTATGTATTTTAACCTGCTTTTAAATATTGGCTAATCACTGGAAAGAGACCACTGGTTTATGGTGCATAAATTACAAGGCATGTGTGTAAATTGGGAATGAATGAAAAGGGCCAATAGACTGATAAAAGGTAGGTAGTGATCAAAAGTGGTTGCTTATGTATATGTGATTGACGGACTATAGGAAATTAATTAAGGGTCTAGATCTAGTCATTAGTTCAGATGTCTACGTCAGAAGAATAACCACTTCCAATATCTTCTTTTAACAACCAGAGAGTTTTCTGGATCATGAGAGGTCAGTATTGTCTACTAGCATTACCAAGACTCCCACTTCTGAGTGGGCTATTAGAGGATAATTGGGTAAATCAGAGCTAAATAACAGCATGGAACACTGAAAAGTAGGACCAGTGGCTATAAGCAAAATTTAAGAGATGGTCAGAAACAGCCTTGCCCATGATAAGTGGACTGGCTAACTAAAATCATGCTGGATGATGGATATTTCCAGACCAGAGAGCTCTGGTCTAGAGAGGTTCAACCTTTACTGACATCCTTAGGGAGGAGTAAACCCTTCAGAATGTTGGCGGTAGGATAGCAATGCATTGGGAAAGCC